GGTATTTTGTTATAGAAATGAAAAATAGACTAATACAGATACCACAAGAACAGAATGCTTTAAGGACATAAAACTGTTTAACCTTCAGATGCTACTAAGAGGTCAGGTAATAAAAAGACTAAAGTGAGTCCATAGCTTTGACAACAAGGAAGACGTTGCATTGCGACTTTGATGAATATAACTTCATTAAGTAGTGGCAGGAGGAGTCTTGCTGTGTTGCGTGAGGAGTGAAAAGGGCAGTAGACAGAAGGTACACACCTTAATTTTAAGAGGCGAAGAAGAAAGATGTGGAGCAGAAACTAGATCCACTTGAAAGTGTTATAAATGGCATGTGAGAGGTCACTCGGACACAGGCCTTATGAGAAAAAGCTTTATTCCTGTCTAGGTGTGAACAGGGACTGAAATCAGGGGTGCATTTCAGTATAATTTATTTTATCTGTGTGTGGATGAGCTGACATGGAGATAAAGATATCACAGCTAGCTGGGACAGAAAACTAAGTTTTATAAGGTTTGGGAAGGGGCTATGATCATAAGGAATGTTTATGACTGAGGGTCTAAAGACAGGCAGCGCAGGTATGCAATCACTGGCTTTTGCTGTGCCCAGGAGGTTGTATACTCAGTCCTAAATTTTCTCCATGGCCATCTGTCCTAGTAACCTGTTGTATGCCAAGAACAGCATGTTTGCTGTGGAGGTCTCATTCAGGTCAGAAAGAAACACTTTGTCCTTGTGATTTGCATTTGTTGATATTAAGATGGAGAAATTGCATGCATGATTAAATGTAGAAAATAATCAAAGACAGAAAGGATGAAAAGTCAGGAGAGAGGTTACCACGCCCACAGGGGTGGGTGTGGAGGTGGAGCATGGAGGTGATAGTGGTGACTAAGAAAAACACATTACTATTTCTGTAGTAATCCAAGGAGGACGTAATTGTGAGTCAGATATAGTACTGTTAGATTTATGTTAGGTGGGCTTTTGATGTAGGCCAGTGTATGTTTTGTGCATGGGGGGGAAAACTCAGAGATTTCATTTAATTTAGACAATTAGTATTCAGTTTATTAAGATTACATATTCAAAAACTCAACTTCTTCCTTAGGCTTTATGTTCCTCTCACAAATCTTACTCTATTTAGAAATCTAGCAAAATTGAACTTTCTGGGGCTTATGGTTAATATTTGGTCCCTTTTACCAATTAAAAAACATTCAAATATTTTAAATAACATTTAAAAGTGATATATTCTATTTCCTTTTTAAGTACCTCATTTATCTTCTTATACAAAACCTTCTGACTACATAGTAAGAGTTACAAAGCTATTAAATTTATAAAGTAGACTTAAAATTCTCTTAAATGTTATAATAGTATGTATGAAACTAGGAAGAGTTTAGCTTAAAATCAAAAGTCCAATAATTCAATTACATATTTCAATTGGTCCTCAAAACCTGTTACTCTAAATAGGTCAGAGTCCATAAATATTAATAGAACAGAAAGCAAATGTGCACAAAAATATTAATAACATGCTTTGATGCTTTAAACCTTTCTATATTTAATCTTTAAATCTTCCTCATATTTGAGTGATGTACAATCACCAAGGAAGAAAATTACTTGGAAATAACTGAGGCTATTTTCAGCCAGATAGTTCGATAGAGCTGCAGGTGTCTGGGGTAATTGACATCCTCCCCACTGTCAGACTGAGCCCTTTTTTAGAGTAGCAATGTCAGGAGTTACAAAACTTAAAAAGGGTTTGGTCTCATAGGTCCTACTGTCCACAACCCTGGATACAAGATACACACAGTACCTGATTCCTCATCTACCATGAAACAGGACAACCAGATATATAGGTTTATATATATGTCCCATCTAAGCATCAAAGGCCTTTGAATTTGATGGAATTGTAAGACTTGTAATGTTTTCTATTTATACCTTTGAACTTGAAAGCCTAAAATAAATAAAATTTATTATTTTGCTAGGATCAAACCTAAGTACATGGTAGGCAAGCACTGGACCACTGAACAAAAAACCCCAGCCCTAATAAATGTATTTTCTATTTAATGATAAAGAACTTTAAATGGAATACTTGCTATGTAAATATCTTTTCTATTTGAAGAACTTTGAACTTGATAGAATCCCACATTCTTTCATATCCATAGGACCACTCACTGATTATAGATATTCACATGATCTCTAGGTGACTTTTGGATATCCTTGATTAATCCATGTCTTATTTACTGTTACTATATGATTTCATTCCTCTGAAAGCGTATGGGGAGGAAGAAGGAGGTTGAGACAGTTTTCATCTGTTGGCTTCTGCTTTCTCTGTACTTTAGAACATGAAGTTATCTGTTAAAGGAGGGAGTTACATGGGAGGTGAGAAAAGAAGCTTTAAAATAGATTTAATAGTGGGAGATTTGAGTTGATCTATGCTGCCTATCAAAAGTGTGTGACAATATATCCATTTAAAGTGGAAACAATTTATGATGACATATACTTACAATTTATATTTAATATTTAGTTTTTATATTAAATGTATTCATTGAGTCCCTTGAATATTTGCCATTGATAAATATTATTTGTAACTGATCAAATCTGAGCTCAGTGCCAAAGAACTTCATTAATAAAGCAATCAGAGGAGTCATTTATTATGCAGCAAAAAGTTCTAGATTCCTTTAACATTTATTTCCATTTGCTAGTCAATTACCAGCTGTCAGAGCATATTAAATACTGTTAATTTGAGTCAGAAGCTGTCACCCCTAAGTGTATTAACTCTGCCTAATCATAGGTAGCAATTTGTGCCATGAAAGAATGTTATTAATCATCAGCTTACATCTGTCTTCATGATGGTATAAAACTGCCACTGGGTCCCATTGTTGAAGTGACATAAAACATTGTAGACACCAAATATGAAAGCTGACAGTCACGAGTTATGAGTGTCTTGATTCATGTTAACAAGCTTCTTCCTGTTTCCAGATTGAGGAGAAAATGACAACTTTGAAACTTTTTGCTTCTTAGTCTTAAAAAATGTAATTTCTTAATACTGTTGCTAAGTACCTAACATTCATGGAGTATATATGATATGCTAAGCATCTTTAATTACTTATTTTAATTTCCAAGCACCTGTGAAATTGTTGGTTACTGTGGTTTTTGCACTACCATAGCTTGCATTTTTCAATGAAGGATTAAGAGAATTTGAGTAATTATTACCCAAAATGGCTCAAACCCAGGCAGGCAGTTGAATGCCATAACCTTTTCTCTTCACTGTTGGTCTTCACTGATAGAATGGTGTCTAGTTTTTGCTAGATTCAGCAGTTAGGAATGCATTTGGTTTTTCTCACTTAATAGGATGGAAATGTAAATAGGTACTCACTTTTAGTATTTTAGCAGTGGCAGATCCAGCAACTCTAGTTCCCTGGACTTTCCCTAATGGCAGCAAAAACAGCTGCTTCAATCCAAGCATGATGCCTGCACTCAGGGCGGGAGGGAAGAAGGGCAAAGAGTTGGCACCAGCTAAGAGCGTGTGATTTATCATGAAAGCAAAAACATTCTCATTTGTATGTTTGTGGGTATAAAACTGTTTCACATGACCCCCCACCTTACCTGCAGGGGTGGAAGACAGAAGCAGAAGGGAATTGAGGATGGTTGATGAGCCAGCCTTGGGCCAAAGGTGTAAAATGTATAAGCTGTGTAGGAATTTTCCACATCTGCTTTAACCTCTTTCTTTTAAGTGGAAAGCTGTGGTTATCTCTATAGTTAAGCCCTAGGGTATTTATTCTTGTCCTGTTTTCTAGAATATGTTTCCAGATAGTAAGAGAAGGCTGTGGTTCCATTAATGGAGTCAGGAATTACTGGTTGCAAGTAACAGCAATTAAAGAACACTGACAGAGAAAATAGATGGATTTCAGTACTGTCCAATAAATATATATTAAGATACATTCCAGATACTCTTCTAGGCTCTGACTATGAATTAGTGAACAAAACTTATGTTTTTGTTTCTGTTTCTGTTTTTTGAGACGTGGTCTTGCTATGTAGTTCAGTCTGGCCTTGAATTCACTATGTAGCCCAGGCTGGCCTCAAACTCACCATCCTCCTGCCTCAGCCTCCTGAGAGGTTGGATTACATGCATATACCACCATACCCAGCATGGACCAAAACATTTTTTTTTTTTAAAGAGTGAGGAAAAATAAGAGGGAATATCACAGAACTCTCAGGAGTGCAGCAGGGCCTCAGGAGGGATAGAAAGGGCAGAGAAGTTCTCTGAAATCCCAGTAGCCCCTCTGAGCACATCCCTTCACTCTCCTCACCCTGCTTTCTCTTCTGTCCCTGGGCACTGTAGGAGGATGGGTCGGGTCATGGAGGCTGACTTGGTATCTTTTATTCCAGCAAGCAGCTTGAGCCGAAGCAGTCTCCAGTCCCAATTCCAAACACTTAAGTGAGAAAATGTGAATCCACTGAGGCCAACGACAGTCTACCTCTTCATGTGAGGGGTGGAGTAGTTACAGGGTCACCTGAGCAGAGGACACCTCACACAGGAAGGTGTCTTCCTTACAAAGCTTTCTGTGGCCATGATCTCCTCTGGTGCCTCTGTAGCCTCTCAGCCCACCACGCCAGAGGTGTGAAGGTTAACTGTACCTTGAAGAGCACATTTGTTCAGCTCTGTGAGAGTTGCTGGTGTCAAGGTTGTTCTGAATGTTTCCAAATCATTTTCGTGCTGCTATTTGTGTCTTTTCCCCCGCATAGCCTTGCCTGCCAGATAATGGGAGAAGTGAGGCTCCCTTCTCACTAGAGACCCAGCCTTTGGAGCCAGCACCTCCATTAATCAATTCAGTTCCAAAGTCCACACTGTAATGCAGGTCAAGGTATTCTTTCATTACCCACTTAAGCTGTAAGCCAGTGAGATAGAGCAGTTGTTGATGTTTTTTAACCTTCTCTTTGTTTCAAACCAGTGCATGTTTTTCCATTAGGAGGATAAACTGAATTGCTGACCTGCTGCTGATCTGTTTCTCCTCAGGCTGTGGATTCCCCTCCACAGGGAGGAGGATGGGCTGGCTGGGGCTCGTGGGGCAAATCTCTGCTGTCATCTGCATCTGCCACCGTGGGTAAGCATGAGCTGTTGCATTGGAACAAAGTTCAGAATCCTGACGGGATGACATTTTGATTGTACCATAGAGTGGTGGAGTTCAGCATTAGCCCATAAGCAAACCGTTTTTAGTGTTTACTTACTCTTCTAAGTGCTTCATGTGTACTAATGGATATATTCTTCAAAATAACCCTGTAAGGAGGTACTCTTTGTTTTCTCTATTCCACAGACAGTAAGCTGAATTATAAAAATACTAAGACCTTGTCCAAAGTCAAAAATGTCTAGGTTGGAATTAATAAGAGAATAACAATTGTTAATATACTGTATATCATGATCTCATAAGAATGGCCAAGATGTTCCTCAGAGTACAGGTCATGAAAAAAGAGTCTCTTGGGCTGGGGATTTAGCTCAGTGGTTTGGTGGCCTGCCTTGCAAGCACAAAGACCTGAGTTCAATCCCTGGTACCAAAAAAAAAAAAGTCTCTTACAAAGAAGATACAAACAAAAGGACAAAATCTTTTTTTCAATGAACAAAATAACTTGAAGATATTAGACCCCCAAAATAAAAGACTCAATCAAAAAAGGGGCAACTAAAATAAATAGACACTTCTCAGAAAAAATGGAAAAAAAATGTTCAACATCACTGGCCATTAGAGAAATACAGTTTAAAACTACATTGAGATACCATCTTATCCCAGAAAGAATGGCCATCATCAAAAACAATCAAATAATAAGAAATCCTGGCCAAGATGTGAGAAGAGGAACTCTTCCACATTGTTGGTGAGAATGTAAACTAGTACAATGACTTAACCACTATATTTTATTGTCTTTTAACATATAAGAGTTGAACTTTTATAATATATTCTTACAGCTTTGGAATTATCATCCCTGTTGTGTATCTTTAAATGTACAACTTACTTCTTGAACAACTTTCAGGTGACAAAATTAACCAGATCAAAGTGAAAAGATCATCTTTTGTTCTCTGACAACAACCTACAAGGGTGCAGGCCGGCACCTGTGGACTTGCTCCTCCCTTGGAAAAATGTTTGTGCTTTTATTCTCCTTCAAAATAGGAGTGATTTTCCTTTAGAACCAAAAACTAAAAATAAGGAATCTTTAAAAATTAGAGTAATTCAAGATAAATAATATGCTCACCAAAATTATACGGCTCTCTTCATGGTTTTTATCGTAAGGCGGAAAATGTCTTAGAAGTTCCCAGTTATAATGGTATCCCAAACCACTCTATTTTATAATGACTTTGGGTGCTTCTGAAGGTTCTGTTAGAGCTGAAGGATTTACTTTCTTATTAAATTTTAAATGTAAGTTTCCTCCACAACAAGTGGAAAAATCATCTGCCCTGTGGGTAGCAGTTACAGGTGTTCACTGTGCATTCTTAAAGGTAAATCTGCCTGTAATGGCTCTAGACCCAGCTGCTCACACCATTTGCCATTTCTTCTCATCAGTCAGCAGCTGTGCTTCTTCATTGACTCTGGGCTTGGCTGAACCTTTATAAGATTTTCTACCTGTAGACTGTTGATTCTTACCGGCTTGTGTTGTAATCTGACACTGGCACAGGTGCAACCTTGGTCAAGGTGAACTGTGTTCCAAGGCCCCCAGATTCTGGTTCGGACACACTGATAGATGGTGTTGACTTTGTTGCATGAAGAGCAGGATGAGATCTATGGCAAGTCCTGCTCGCTGTTGGCAGGCACTGTGGGCTTGATCTGAAGTCACTGTCTTCATTTGCAGCCTGGGCTTGTATTTGGTTTTCTTCTGAAGTTTCCCTGTGTCTTGATTAAGTACTAAGTCTTGGAAGTGTTACAGCCACTTTACTACCCTGTGTAGTTCTTGATCCAGAAGCAGGTAAAGGGTCCACTGCTTAAGGGCCAGGGAGAATCATAGTGCCAGTCACTATGCCATATTCCTGCTTGTGAATGGTGAAGGTGAAGTTTCTCTGGGATTTCCTGACATTTGCACATCACCTCATAAAATATCAGAATGAAATTCAGTTGCCTATTGCTGTACACCACAAATATAGAGGCTTAAAACAGCAAGCACTTACTATGTTACAGTTTCCTTGGGCCAAGAGTTCAGGTAGGGTAGCTGCTTCCGGTCTGGCCTGAAGTCCAGGTGTCACCAGCAGTCCACTCATCTAATGTTCACCATGGCCTGAGGCAACATGGCAGCTCAACCTTGGCAGATGAGGTGGTACCATTACGAGGGCCCCACACCGAGGATGAAGCCAGGAGCTGTGCCCAGCTGCCACCTTTGCTTTGATGGAGTCATTTTCAGGGTTATTCAGATTTTTGGCAGAACTCAATTCCTTTACAGGACTGAGGTCCACATTTGCTTGCTGGTCATTGGCCAAGGGTGACTCTTAGCTCCTAGAGGCTGCTCTAGGTTTTTCTGCAAAGCCAGGAGGATAATCTTCCCCATACTTCAAATCTCTACCTTTAGCCAGCCATGGTGGTGCACATTTGTATTCCCGCACTTGAGAGACTGAGGCAGGGAGGACTGCTGAGAGTTCAAGGCCAGCCTAGACTGTCACATAGCTAGACTCTGTCTCAAAAAACAAAACAAGACAAACAAAAAACTCTACCTTTAGGTAGAGGTCACTCCTGTTTTTAAACTCACCTAATTAGTTCAGGCCCACCGAGGATACCTGTGATTAACTCAACAATTAAGGAACCACAATTACATCTTTAAAAAATCCCTTTGCCTCCACCAGATAATGTGACCTTCACAGGAGTGAAATCCCATCCTATCCACAGTCCTGCACACACCCAAAGAGGACGGGGTTCTATAGAGTATATGCATCAGAAGATAAGATTGTGGGTGCCATCTCCCAGTACAGCCTACCACCCTTTCTCTTCTGTTGAAATCTTCATTTGCTGTTGAAATACCCCAGCAATCTTTTGTCTTTGGCTGCATGCTGAAACTTTGAAAAGGGAGTGAACCTTGGCATTTCCCCTTGTTGGCATCTACCGTGGCAAAGGTTTTGTAAGGAAGATCATAGAAAGTTTGAAATATACACATTCTGTGATTCTTTCTGGACAAACCTTGAAAAGACAGGCACTAAAATTGTTCATCAACAGGCCGGGAACTTAGCTCAGTGGTTCCACCACCAGCCTCGGAAGCACAAGGTCCCAAGTTCATCCCCAGTACCAAAAAAAAAAAAAAAATTTTTGTTCATCTCTGCTGGTCAGTGGATGCAATAGAAAGATAACTGAATACCATACAGTTACAAATTAATTCTAAAGGAGTATCTTAGTAACTTGAAGACTTCTGATCAAGATGTGCTGTGACTGTGTGCATAGTAATAGTAATAGCGAAAATAATAGCTATCTATGTATATTTAAAACTAAATAAGAATCTTTGTAGACCTAAAGCATGAACTACCTGTGAACCAAGATTGCATTCATGGGTTGCAAGGCAAGGATACAGGCAGCAGTGGTTGGGAGTTTGACAGAAAGGTAGTAAGGAATCATAGGGGTTGGAATGAGACTCAACCATCCATGAACAGACACTTTCAAAAGTTATGGTACCACCCTGGACCACAGTCTTCATCAAGCTGCTACCTTGGGATTGGTTGGGAGAGGCAAGATAGACACAGCTTCTCTTCCATACAGACATGATATCAATCCCAGGTCTTTGTAGCATTAACAGTTATCCTAGGGCAAAGAAACTTACTGGAAAACAGAGAACTCACAGCAGTAGACAAGCTCTGGGAGGTTTATAAATTGCCCGTGGAAAGTAAAGAAAGAGAATAACTACATGTTCAATTGCCATTGATCTCCACTCAGAAGCCTCATGTTACCCCCAGGGTAATTCCAGTTGTAGACAGGGGAGCAAAGCACCTAGTCCTTAACAAAACACGGTGCTATCAATGGAGTGCTAGAAATAGAAGCCACAACTTCATGCTCTTTGGTGAAAAACTGAGTCACAATCATTAGAAATGTTTAGAGATGGCAGGAAAGTAATTGGAGAACAGAAACCTTGGAAAGTGGTATTCTTTTGGAACAAGCACTGTACCCTGAGACCTGAGACCTGGTCTTGAGTATTACTAGTTTGTGATCACAAGAGACTGTCACTGCCTACCTACACCATGTACTTAACCTCCCCAAGATCCAGAGTTTATCATTGCTGTTGTTTAGAAAAATATAGGTAGGGAAACTTGAAAAATTCTAAGGCCTCCTCCAACTTCTAGAATATGAGTCCATATTCAGTGGCTGTATAGAGAAATAGATATTTGTAACCACTGTGCCAAGTAGAAAAATATGGGAAAGTGATTGGCATTTTGCTATGCTGTAATTTTATATCTTCTCTTTTGCCTCTTACTTTGGTCCTAAGGATAGATAAATCAGAAAATGGAACCTTTGCAATGCATATATATAAAATCAAACATTTCTCAGCCAACAGTTCTTCTCAGAGAGGCCTTACCTCTGGCATTTGTTTCATCCACAGCCATACTCTTATCACACATTCCCAGAGTTAATCTGCCACCTGTGCCTTTGACAAGTTTATAAAGCACAATAAAAATCTTTATTATCCAGGCAGAAACTAGAGTGGGAAATGTCAAAAATATTAAAACACAGAAAAGAAATATTTGAGGATAATTTCAAAGTGATATTGTGACAAACAGTTATGATTTCCCACAAGTGTCTTATAGACAGAACTTATTCTGAAAATTTATTGCTATGCCTAGGATGATAGACGAGTAATCAAAATGATTAGTGGCAATGCTGTAATATATACAAGGATCGTAAAGCAAAGCCTCAGAATAGAGAGGATAGAGCAGTTTATTTCTAGATATAGCCGAAGGCCTAATGTTTATTTGAAATTCCAGTTTTGACCGTTTTATGAGTCTAACCACCTCATACAAGAATACCTGAGGTTGGCTGGTAGTATGTCTGATTGTATATTTATTTTTTTAAATTACCATTATTTCTCTTTCCCATCCTGACCCAAGTTGCACTTTTTTTTTCCATTCTGTACATTTTAATGAGACCCTTCTACCAGC